GACGTTATTAATATCCATTATTTTAGCGTGCCGCGCGTGAACGTGAACGTGAACGTGAAGGTGAACGCATACATAAACATACCGCCCAGCTCGCCGATAGCATCGCGGCTTCGCCGTAGCCCGGCTGCATGGCTACGGTGATTCGACAGAGAGAGAGAGAGAGAGAGAGAGAGAGAGAGAGAGAGAGAGAAAGAGAGAGAGAGACGGTGATCGATCGGCACCAGCTTGTCGCGCATTATTGGTAAAATGGCAGAAAACTCGACGTCGTCGTCGGCTACGATCGATCGGCTCGGGCCGGAGCGTATCGGGACATATCTCGAAGCGTTTGGCTAATTGAAAAGGACGACGGGACGCGTGGGAGTATATTAAGTCGTAGAGTGCGTTTGCGTAAGAAAGAGAGGGTTAACACAAGGAACGGATCGTGAGTTAAATTCACATACCTGCGAAATAATAGTGGTGTTTTTTTCTCCTCACGCGCTGCGTCATTCTCGCTATCATAATATAACAATCGTGTCACGGGTACATATACACACACACGCACACACACACACACGTATGCAGTGCATGATCGCACGTCAATTACCGCTCGAGATCGCTCGGAAATTATACTTACAAGGAAGCTGCTTGCTGTTTTTTATTGATCTCGATCGATCGTATTTAATCGTCTTATATGCAGGTACGTACATGTGTGTGCGTGCGTGTATATGCAATTCGGTGAATTCGAAAACCTGATGAAACGTTAATTGCTGAAAAGGCACGCGGCTTCGCGACGATAATCAGATTAGAAGGATACGCTAAATACAGGATGAGCGCACGATTCTCGTCCGGATGGAGGATTCAGCCGGTCGATTTGGAAAACCTGTCGAAAGCGAGATCTATCGGGCCCCGGGCCCCTGTAAGCTACTTATTCCACGGCTTAAACTCGTTCGCGGTTACTCGGCCGTCGGCAAAGTTCGAGACAGGTTCTCAATTTAAGATGGATCAATCTGCGCGCCCTGACGGATAATCTTCAGCGTGGAAGAAATTCGAATTAAAGGGACGGGCCAGGCGTGAGAGAAAGAAGATGGGAGAGGGAATGAAGGAGAGAGAGAGAGAGAGAGAGAGAGAGTCGGAGGAGAGCCAGACAGATTCCCTCCTCGCGCCCTAAGGATTGTAAAAACGGACACACGGATCGCGCCATTATTAATTCATATTTCGTTCCACTCGTTCGCGGTGAAACGATCACATTACGTTTATGTGAAAAAAGGCGATATTAATTATTCTCGAATTATATACATCTGCTCGATCGACGACGCGCGGAATGTGAGACGAGAGAGCGCGGAGAGCCTTTTGTCTCGCGCATTCGCGAATTACATCCCACGGAAAAATAACAATTAATTCCGCGCGAGCTAAATAAAAGAATACGAGAATTCGCGAGAGGAACTCGTTTTCTTACTTCCTTCTTGGGACTATGAGCGAACGGAAAGGGGAACGCGGCTCCTGCTACTCCTTTTCTCTCCCTCCCCCCTTCTCTTCATTCCTACGGCCATGGATGGCCGTAGCAGAAGGAGAATGAGAGAACGCGAGAGGGATTCTTTTTTATCAGGCGTGCTGCATTCTGTTCGTCGACTAGACAAAAGAGAGAGAGGAAGAGAGAGAAAGAGAGAGAGAAGGCGGGAAAGAGAAAAAGAGAGGGAGGGAGGGGGAGAGAGAGAGAGAGAGAGAGAGAGAGGAGAGAGAGAGAGAGAGAGAGAGAGCAGGAGAGAGAAAGAGAGAGAGGAAGAGAAAAAGAGAGCAAGCAGAGTCTCTGGGGGCGCTTTTTTCCTGCGCTCTCTTCCTCCGGAGTAGCTCCAATCGCGCGGACGGAACGAAAGAATTTAGCTCGGGACGTTTCCTCCGTCGCACAGGAAATTGTTCGTTATCGATTATTTATTGCGTCGCCGACTCGCGGGGTGAGCCGATCAGCGCGGCACAGCGCGAAACCATGGCGCTTCCGCATGATCATCGCGCCGAGCGACCAACGTCGCGCGTATGCGCGATCACGAGACGAACTTGTACCCCCGTCGCGCCTCGAAAAACGGTAATAAACTTAATGTAAATGTCCTTGAAAAAAATACTCTATCGCAGATTCCGATCGATCGATACCGCGGAAGAGAATCTCTGCGCGAAGAGCTACCCGCTCCCCGGGCTCCCGCAGTGAATTGCACGATGGGATCGTCTCGCGAAGGTCGCCTTTTCTCTTTCCACGTTACGTCTTGATCGTCGACGTCGAAACTCACGATGACGCGCGCAAAGGTGTGAAGTGAAAGGGAACTCGGATTTTCGAGCAGCGCAATGTGGCGACACATTTCACACAGCTCGGAAGGTATTACGTGCCTGTGTCGGGGAATGAGTCGGCCGAATCTTTCAATTTGCGCCGGGCTGTATATTTTGCCGAAACGTGCAAAGGCAAATATCAGGAAAAGGCGAGCGTGAAAAATGCGTTACCTGCCGGGCCGTGACCGCCACGTGAGCGAGTTATTCCGTTGAAGCGGAATTAGCATGGAAGGGGATGTCCAACAGCGACGACAACAGCGAACGAGCCTTTGTAAGAATCCTTGCTTCGTAAGAATCCGAGAAATAATCATTGGCGGTGGGAGAGTCGATGCATGTACGCATGCACGCACGCACGCACGCACGCACGCACGCACGCACGCGTGCGTGCGTTTTCCCTTTTCTTGTCCTTTTTGCCTCTCTTTTTCATTTCGCGACGCCCAAGGCCTCCGCGTGCGTATCTCACGCCGATTAATTGCGGCTGATTTTTCTTTATAGTGAAAAGTGCAAGGTGGCAAGGTGCGCGGGGACGGTGCGCGTGCTTAATGGTTATTGGCTCGCGATATTCCGCGAGCGGAGGTGCGTGCGCGATCGCGCGTAATTCGCGCGAGCGGTATCGAACTACGCGCGTGCGCGCGCGCACACACACACACACACACACACACACACACACACACGCACGCACACTAGGGACGCCGGTGTGCGGAGCCACTCTCGCGTCGTAATAATAAATTCTACGTAGCAACGTGACTTATCCGCGCCGCTCGCGGCTAAGTGCGCGCAATAATTGTTAATTGTCGACGCTGATACACACGCCAGATAGCGCGAGTCGCCGCCGCCACCGCCGCCGCCGCCGTCGTAGCCGCTCCTCCGTTGTATATACTCCCGTTCCAATTCTTTCCGCCGAGCGCTACCGTCCGCGTGTAAACAGCCTCATTCCCGGCCGCGATCATTCACGAGTGACGAAAGTCGCGGTCTCGGATGAAGAGGAATACCATCGGCAGCTACCTCGATCCCGCTGTGTGTTTCTCTCCTCTGATATCTGATATACGGGCGCCATTATGCGCGAGCTTCGTTAGATCGGCGGCGATAAATCTGCGCGTTTCTGGGAAAACATGGTTCGTTAGTTGCCCAATGCCGAGTGGATATGTTAATCTCGATGCCGGCTCGATGGCCGGATAGATAAGATTGCTTTCGCGGCGATTTCCGAAAATGCGAATCGGCCGAATAATCGGCCGCTCGCTCGCTCGTCTTCCTCGTCTTCCTCGTCGCTCGCGCGCGGGGAAACTCCGGCGCGAGCGGCCGTAAGTTCGACCGGCGTGAGACTCGTAAAAGTCCGCTATTATTACTCTCGTTTCGGCCGCGCTGCCGTAAATACGCGCGCTAACGAACCCACTGAATCTCCGCGTTCATTTGCGCTCGTAACAAGCTCCGAAGCTGACATTTAAGCTTGTCCCTCCCGATTTTTTCGCTCTGACCTTTGCCGCGTCTCTGAGTGTCTCTCTCTCTCTCTCTCTCTCTCTCTCTCTCTCTCTGCGCGCGCGCGGGTCCTCATTTTAATACATTATCACTTAACGTGTCTCCAGGCGATGTCTCGAGGTGAGGGAGAGCGGCAGGAGAGGACGGGGGGTATCCGGTGATCGCGGATCTTCTCTCTACCGACGCCTCTCTTGCGACACTACAAACGGACATGATTCATTCTCATTAATGTCCCTTATTTGCTCATCCTCGTGCCGCGCGACTCTCGTCCACGGCGGCGCGCTATTAATCGCGTTCGGTCTGCAACGCGCTTAACGCAACTCCTCGCAAACTCCACGTGCGATATCTTCGCCGCACGGCCGCGCGATATCTTTCGACACACGTCTTGGTGTACGCGTTAATGAAAAGCATCGGGTTCTCGTCGGCTGCGTTTCGCGTCCGCATTGCGGTCGCATCTATGCTGCGCGAATAGACAAACCGCAAGGCGCATTGTGAGTCAATAATCGGGCAGAGATAGAAAAAGAGAGCGCGCGCGCGCAAGAGAGAGAGAGAGAGAGAGAGAGAGTAGGGGAGGGGGGAGGATGAATTACAACCTGTCGCGCGTCTCGAATATACCGTCGTCGGATGACTGTTACATGGACAGGATGGACTTAATTATACGCGTGAGATATGGGACTCGCGACGTAAACATATAATACTCGATCGCGCGCGCGCGCGCGCGCGTCCGAGCAATTTTGGAATGCGAATAAATTAGGCTAATAAGCACACTCGGCGGCATTCAAATCCCCACGTCGCGTCGAATTACGCCGTCGTACGCGCAGGCCGCTGCCTCCTCTCCATGCCCCCTAATCGTTGTTCGAAGCGGGAAGAGCTTCCATTCATCTCGACGTATGTCTGTAATTTCATCCCCCCTTCTCTCTTTCTCATCTACACGCTTCGCAAGACTTTTTTCTCCTACTTCCTCTAACGATCCGCTGACGTCGGCTGACGATTAATATTTATGCATCGGTATAAATATTAACCGCTTCCCAGAATCGACGTGCACGCGCGCGCGTGCGTCTTCCAGGTTCGCGATGGCGGCGATATTCACCGGGATCGTATTTACCCGGGACGGGCGACATCGAGAAGCGTCGCGGACAACAGATTGACGTCGGTCGCGCTATAAATCCGCGAGGACCCGCGATCGCAATGACAACGGGCGCGTAGGATGCATGCAAAGTAGCACTCACCCGGCACGAAGGGACGCCGCTGCGGCGGCGGTGAGCGTCAGCTGCTGGGTAGTCGGGTCCGTGGCGACGAGCTCCGACAGCACCAGCACCGTCGTCGTGGTGGTCGCGGCGCCGCAGTTCGGCACTGTCGCGCTGACCGCGTGGCGCACCGTCGGCGGCAGGTCGTCCTCATGTTGCAGCTGCAGATGCGGATAGTGGTGCAGATGCAGGGCGGTGGCGGTCGCCGCCGAAGCGGACCTGGGGGTGATGCAGGTCGGCGGCAACAGGTCCGCCGCCCTCGTGACGGCCGACGGGGGCGACGGGGACGTCGGCGACGGAGGTGGCGGCGGGTACTCCACCACCTGCACACGGTCCGCCTCGTTCTCGTAGATGATCTCCTTGTCGTGGGTGTACATGACCGTCTTTTGGCCGTCGTTGTAGATGAGATCGATCATCTTGTGCTCGCTGCCGCCGAGGCTCGCGTTGGTCGCGTCCGTCTCGGCGCCGGGAGTCACGCGTCCATCCGGGTCGTCCGGGGCGCGCTGTTGCACGTCGTCCGGGTCGCCCTGGATGTGCTGTTGCTGTTGTTGCTGCTGTTGCTGCTGTTGGTGGTGGTGGTGATGGTGGTGGTGGTGGTGGTGATGGTGGCGGTGGTGATGGTACTTGGGGTGAAGCGTGTGCACCGCCGGCGGTTCATGCAGATCGAGCACGCTCACCGGTTGCATGGTCGCTAGCATGACCTGCTGATCGCCCTCATTTTGATTTGGGTTGCTCAGAGAGGAGGATGCCGGCGAGACTGGCGCCTCTTGCACCTGTAACGTGAGCAAACGGAGCGCGTTATCGTTGCGCTGCCATCGTTCGGCTTCTTACTTTCCGGACCTCGATCCGAGGCTCTGACGTTCGCGAGAGGAGAGAAAGAGAAGAAGAAGAAGAAGAGGAAGAAGAGAGAGAGAGAGAAGGGGGAAGGGGAAGAGACATTGGAGACGGTGTTTCGACCGGCGCGATTTTACTGGCACGCGGGAGCACACGTTTACTTACGGAGCATCATCTTTTAGCGCAGCGCGATAAAATGAAAGCGCGTAGAAGCGTAATACGCGCGCTCCGTAACCGCGCAAAGCGACATTGTGGTGGCGTTAGAACGAGCGCGATCGAGCGCGAGACCTTGATCTTTGCGTTGCGCACAATGCTGCTCGCGAGGGCGTTTCGCGTTTTTTCTTCCTCTTTTTTTTTTCCCTCTCGAAACTACGCACTCGCGCGCGCGCGCGCTCGCAGACTGATTAAATCATTTACCAGGCATACAACGGCACAGCGCTGTTTAACGCAGCGCGTTGTGGCAGCGCTAATTTATTAATCGCATTAACAGGCGCGCGCGCGGGCTTTGCGACATTGGGATTTATACGCCCGAGCGCGCTCCCGTCGTCCCGCGCTGTCGCAATGCCCGTAACATTTTCGAATGCTAATAACTGTGCGCGCGCGCGCGCGCGATAGAAATTATATTAATATCTTGGCGTATCTCGCATTCGCGCTCTCCAAAGCGGCGAGGCGCGTTGCACGCTCCTACCGCCGGGCATCCCCCGGTAATAATTAATCGACCGTCGCCGTTTAGCCGGGTAACGCGCACCGAGGAAAACTTTTTGCGCCGCGCTCAAAGATCAAACGATCAAACGGCCGAACGAACGTGACCCGGTAGGTGTTGCACCTCTCGCGACTCGCCATTGCGGCGCGGCGTCCTTTCGTCCCGCCGCGAAATTCATCAAGGATTAGCACACTTGGGCTTTCATTTCCGAGTCGTTAGCGATTCATCTTGCCGCGACATCATGCGCGCGTCATTACCTAATCGCCCGGTTATCCAGATGCTCCGTGTGCCGTGTGCGATTTATATCGCGGCCCGAAGACCGTGCGCGTTACGCGACGAGTTTTCACCGCGGCTGTCGAGACCGAACGAGAGCCGCGCGACCGCGAGCAGACTGGATGCACGTTGGCTCAACGACTCCGGTTGGATAATGTCGTTAGATAATGCCATTTTCTTCTCAGCCGGACGAAAATATTGTCTTCACCGCGCACGCTTCTGCCGCCGGCATCAGACGGAGCCCGCGTCACGAGCGTTGGTTTCCCCACGCGCAGCGGATATCGCAAGACGAAGCCGAGACGAACTCGGCGCGTGCGTCTCGGTAGACACGGATCGCCGTGAGCCGCGCGGAGATCTTCGGCGGTCGTCCCAATAGGAAAGTAACAAGAGAGGGGGAAGGAGGAAAGGCTGAAGATACCGCGGAGAGCTCACTAATGGAATGTGATGATAAAATTTCACCGACTTCAAACTGGAGGGGAAACGTGAATGTACGAGCGTACATTCAGCGGACAATTTCTAACGATTCGTCACCTCGCGCGTCGATGCGCGCCTATCCTACTGTCCCCGAAGTTAGCGCGCGCGCGCGCGCGGAAATCCTTTGACCCGCATAAATAAGAATAATAAGGATAAGGATACGGCACGGTAACGACGTCGTTTGTGGAATTTCCCACGTGTCGCCGGATTATCGTGCTTTCTAGCCAGTAACGCAAGTTACCGAGGAATCCTTCTTTCTCTTTCACTCTCTTCCCCCACCCCTCCCCTTTCTCTCTCTCTCTCTCTCCCTCATCCTTTTTTCTGTTTCCTAGGAAAACCCGCGAGACCTCGAGCCGGCCGGCCGATGCCATACAGTCACCGGCGGCATCATTCGTAACGTGACAGCGAGCGACGTGGCAGCGCTATTAAGGCCCGTGCATATTGCAGCAGCTCGCGCCGCGCAGCACGATGGTTTCCGTCAATTAACATAATTAACAATATTATGAATCATCCTCTTAACGTCCAGGCTCGCGCGCACGGTCGCGCACCGGAGGTGCGCGTGAGTTACGCGCGCCGTTAGTCCGAGCGCAAAAATCCATTCTTTCTCTCCTTCTCTCTCTCTCTCTCTCTCTCTCTCTCTCTCTCTTACTCGATCTTTATCCTCCTCCTCTTCATCCTTCGATTCTTTCTCTTTCCTCTTTTTATTCTTTCTTTTTACTTCTTCTTCTTCTTCTTCTTCTTCTTCTTCCCGCGCACTTACTTATTTTCTCCGGTGTGCGCGGAGACTTAATCCCGAGTGTCACCGGTTCCTATATTTCCTCGCGTTGACCGTCGTAAATTCAGAGGCCGATGAATAACGCGACTCTACGATTAAGCGCGAGGATTAGCGCGATGAAATACGGTCGGCTGAGTACGGGCAAAATCATTAATGGACGAACGAGCCTCTGAATAGACCACACGTGTCTCTGCGCGCCAAGGTAACAATGTTTATCTCGCGATTACGCGTCCCTGGTATTCAGGCCTGACAAACTTATTATTAATAACGTCGTAATTTCGCACCTTCTGCCGGCTTTTTCGCGCAAAATACACACGCGATCCACGCGTGTAGCGATATTTTTTTGGCGACGCGGTGTCTCTCCCTCCCTCTCTCTCTCTCTCTCTCTCTCTCTCTCTCTCTCTCTCTCTCTCTCTCTCTCTGCCTCTCTGTCTGATCGACGTCGCCTCCGCTCCTTCGTTTTTCATCCACATGTACGCGTGTAATTTTGAGCTAAACGCGTCGAATCGATGTTAATTCCGATTACGCAACGTCCATCGCGAAGGTAATGCACATGCCATTATTTCGCCGATATCGACGCGTCGCACCGCGCGGCGCGTAGTGAACGTGCAATTTCATCGGGACGTAAATAACCGACGTACAAAGACGGCGTATATGATTTTCCACATTTTATGAATCGCCTCTCGATGTCGCGCGATATCGTTTCATCTCGCTGCTTCTCGCATGTCGCTATTTCGAGACGATTACGCGGCTCGGAGCCGCGCGGGAAGCGCGAGTTGCATTACAATTCAATTTCATTTTTATCCTTCAGCGCGTCGGCAAATTTTTTCATCGGCTCTGCCGAACACGGAATCCACTCGCTTCAGGCGCTCCGGCATTCGTGCCTGATAGATGGAAGAGCCGTGACACATGCATATGCGCGCGTGTGTGTGTATGCGTGTAAACGGTAATCGCGCGGTTGACAAAAATCCACCGGCTCGTCGCGCGGCGAGAGCGTCACGGATTTCGGCCGTGACGCGTTTCTCCGCCGTAATTCTCGGCGACACGTCGCCGATTCTACGAGTCTCGCTGGCCCCCCTCCCCTCCCCTCTCTCTCCCCGATTCATTTCCTAACGCCATCGTCGCTACCAGCGACGAGCTATCCTTGACATCGCGCGCCATCCATCGCGATGTATCCCGTCGATGTCAAGGGTCCCAGATATGCCTGGACCGGGAGACATTAATCAGCTCGAACACGCGGCGAGTCGCGACCGCGACACGAACCTCCCGCGGTCGTTACACGACGTTAAGTACTCTCCGATGCGAATACTCGAGCTTGTACCGACTTCATTCGAAATCTAATCCCACGTCAGTCGCCTGAAATTTATCGCGCTCGCACAGCCGGCGGGATCGACGGCCGCGCGGCGCGCCTGGTTCTTCAGCGCCGATCCGCAGAAAGCGGGAAGGATTCGTTCGCTGCTTTTTACCGCGCGTTTCGCGCGCGACTCTGACGACGCTCGCGTTTAGCGCAAAAATCTACACTTCGCGATTCCGCGCAGATTACACCGCGCGGCACTTGTCAGACGATATTTCTCCCACCGTCACGGACGAGCCGGCGAATCTAATCTGCCATCTTGTAGCGCGGCGCTGATTAGAATAACGCGTCAACGTGAATGGTTTATTTATCGCCCCGGATAACGGAGGTCGTGTTCCGCGGTTTATTGACTTATTTGCTGTATGTCGTACGCGCGTAGAAACAACGTGTGACTTCGTCGAGCCGTCTCGGCGAAGCCGAGAACGACCGTCACTCGCGCACGAAACGCGCCGAAACGATCGGCGCCGATGAAGAAACTACGGACGCGTCCGCGATTTCGAGAGCTCGCTGCGGCTACCGCGAATTCTACGCCACGGTCGCGCAGCGTCTTGTTTAGGATGCTGCGCGCAACAAGTCCCTCATAATAACAGTTAATTGGTCCTGGCCGCGGTCGCGATCGCCGGCTCTTATCCAACGCGCGCAGCGAAGACGGTAGTGACCGATCCAGACATGTCTGTCGGCCGAGAGAACGAGAGAGCCAAGACGAACGCGCGACGTTATCCTCCAGAGGTCTTTCTCTCTCTCTCTCTCTCTCTCCTCCCTCGTTTCTTCAGCCGCGATTGCGCGGACATCCTCCTGCGCAACGTGCGGCCGCTGCCGATCACGACCGCACAGCTGCGTGCGGCACGCTCGAGGATACGCGGAATCGTTAGATGCTTTTCTTTCGCGGTACGTTGCCGGGCAATACGCGCGGCGCGTGGAAAATTGATCTCGGGCTCTGCAGGCTCTACACGGTGTGTGTCGTTGCCGATCTCGAGATGCGGCTCTGCGCCGCCCGCGAGATCGAGCGAGATCGGCGAGACGCCGCGGGGCGGTTGCGTATTTTCGCGAGGCCCGCTTGCGTTATCGCCGCCGCGATATCGCGGGTTCGTTATTATTATATTTTGCCGCTCGCGAGCGGCGCGTCGAGCGGCGATCGGCGCCGGCATTTTATCGCGCTCGGCGATCGCGCGCGGTGACGCAGCTCGAACGACGTCGTCGTTCGCCGATTGTTGCGGGCACGCTGCCAGTCTTTTGTGCAACTAGATATTAAGTATTTCGTAAAACTTGAGGCCGACGCGAGTACAGAGGAGGGTGGGATTTGGGGCAGGGGGAGGGAGGGAGAGAGAGGGAGAGCCAGAATATGCGCGAATTTATCGCACGCACGCACAAATGCACGCATACCGGCGCATGTTTATTTCATTAACGTCACCGCCGGTCACTTATCATCGCCTCGCATCACGCGCTTTCCCGTCTTTCTCCCTCTTTATTCTTTTTCCCTGACCGCGAATGATTTCGCAAGTAAAATATTTCGGCGTCCGCGTCGGTCGACGCGCGCGAGTGCCCGCTTTTATTTTCGAAGCATTTTTTGCGCGCTCCTCAATCTTGTTTTTGCGATCGGTATGAGTCATTCGAATCGAGAAAAGATTCGCGCGCACGAAATACAGGGGGCCCCCCCTTTTTATCTCTTTTCTCTCCTCCCGTCCCCTCACTGCCTCTCTCTCTCTCTCTCTCTCTGCCCCTCTTTTCTCTCTTTTGGCTCACTGCCCAATAACGAATCGGTTAACGAAAAAGTTAATGAAGATACAAAATAACCAGTCGCTCGGAATTCTATTAAAGAGCCTTTACTTCTTATCTCCATAATGAACGGCGCGCGATCATCGTCGAAGGTTCCCTTCGTTTAACCGTCAGGTAGACGAGAAATCTGAAGAGTCATCGGCGCGCACTCGGCGCAAATCTCTTCCTCCGTCGTGCACGTCTTGCCTACGGGTAGAAATACACAACGGAACGAACATCATGCCGTAAGGCATGACGTACGTACCGTTCGTTTAATACGGACGCGAAAGAATTCCGCGATTTGTTAGCGAGGGACACCGGGACGCGCGTGTATATTCACGCACGATGATGGAAAAGTGAGGCGCGGCCCGGAGCTGCCCACGTTTCGACGTAGGAAGCGCGTGTTCTCTCTCCCTCTGTCTTTCTCGCGATCCGGAAGCGCGATAATAAGCATTTATACGGCCGCTTGAACACCCGGTACACGCTCGAGCGCGATGCACGTCGTAAACGCATTTAAACACGCTGATTAAAGGCGCCTGACGCAGGTGTGAAGCGGCTCGTCCCTTCAAAAGCCTTCAACTTTTCTCGTCCTTTACGCGCGTTATTTCGCGCGATGGACTCAGGACTTGGCAAAATGACGTATCGGTAACCTGGCCTGCGCACGAGAGAGACCACCGCTGCGATTGCAGCGGTTTATCGTAAAAACTCGTGTCAAAGAGTTTCATATAGCAAAGTGAACACCTTCATTAACCTCACCGCATTAAAATACCGCCCGAGCGCTTTCGAATTTTTCCGCGCGCGCGCGCGAGAGAGAGAGAGAGAGAGAGAGAGAGAGAGAGAGAGAGAAATTAAAATGACGCAGAATGCAAGCACCCGCGGCGCGCACAGCGCTGGTTCTGGCCGTTCTGCTGCACGCTGGCGCGATGTCGCAACGCGACAATTTCGCGCGCTAATTTCCTCTAATGCGATAGAGAAAATTTGCTGCTGGCACCGCTCGCCGGGACCTGCCCCCGGTGCACGCGCAGGATGTTACATGAATTACTCCGCGATCATTTTCCTTTGCATAACGATAAAACATTTATTGACGGGCGAGAGAAAGGAGCTCTTGATCCGCCGATCGGTCTCGCGACCTTCTGTCCGTTGTGCCGGTCGTTGCGCGTGTCTCTCTTTTTGTCGCTCCCGCTCTCGCGGACAAAACGGGTCGAAGGAGAAAATTGGAGTAACTGTGGGAGCGCGCGTCGCCGCTTGAAAATACTTAATCCGTGCAATAAGAACCGCGGCTCGACGAAATGGACTCGTAATGAGCCCGCGGGGATCTAGCTGTAACCCCTTCGGGGTTACCCATCAAGATTCCACGAGCATTTACGCGGCCGTACACGAGAGCTCCTTCAGAGCTTTGTGAGCGTCACAGGCCGAATAACGGAGAGCTGATCAAAGAGTTTCACTCTCGAGCAACCGCTGGTAATTTCATTCTTCGACGCACCAGCTCGAGCTACCCGCAGCGATTTGAAACGAATTCTCGTTTCAAGGATGCAAGAGCTCTTTCGGCTCTTCGTCATCTGACGTATCTATCGAGGAATTGTATTTCGTACCGGGATAGTTCGGAGAAAAACGGAAATTGTTGCGAATGATTGTTAAATAAACGCCATTGTCAAACTGAAGAATGAGCCGTGAGATTAAATCGTTAGCGAACAGTTCATTCTGGTACAAATATAAAGGTCATTCTACAATACGTGTCGTAAGTTGTAAGCCGTAAGAATTGACGAATCATAGTCGATTATTACAAAAATAATCGGCTGTAATTGGTCAGTTCTTACGGCTTACAACTTACGACACGTATTGTAGAATGATCTTAAGAGTGTTGTGTTGTGGCGATGTAATCTGAATTGCGCTGTACAAATATTTACTAACATCGATTTCGCTTTTTCTATTTTTTCTGTCTTGTCTTGTTCGAGCTATAGCTTTCATCGCTATGAGGTCACGTTACGTGACCTCATAGCGATGATATATATTGTCTGCGGCAGGTAAACCGAACCGACCGAAGTTTCGGTTTTCGAAAAAATAGAATAAGTAGGTATTCATCAGGTCCTACGCTTGTGGATCCCACGAAACAGAATAGCAAGACATCACTAGGCCCTTTTCTTACTGAAATCTTTTACCCACACACTTCGAAAAGTCACAATAATTGCTTTGTCAAATGTTATTCAGGTTCATCTTACAACAGTGGACGGGGGAAATCGGAATTTTGTAGGATTTGGCACGGACAGAGAAAAGAAGAACAGCAAATATCTTCTATCGACAGGGACTGGGAACGTGAGAAAAAGAGAACGGAGAACAGTTCAGGTGAAGGTCGTACCTACGCTTATATTTCGTCAATTTTAAAGATAAAAACAAGCGTTTGTGCGACGACAATAATGTCGTGTCTCGTTAAAAGCCCGAGATCTCTCAATCTTAATTAGCGCCGAATGTATTATTGGCTGCGAAAATGATTTCTGTTTTCTGTTAGCGAATCGAATTAACTCAAGTTATACGTATTATCATGATTCGTCTACGACTTTTAAGCATCATTTGATTTTCACGCACAGCATTCGATCAAACGAGGCTGCCTGATTTTCTAGTCGAGGTTCCTCCTGGCACCATCGTCATTTAAATTACTAGCGAGCAAACGCAGCGCTCTCACAATCAGACTCAGCCTCATTTGAAATTAAACGAATCTCTCATTAATAAAAAGTCGACACTAACCGGAGATAGAGACTCCTGCATGTGCAGGGGCGCGTTGTCGGCCTCGTCGGTACACGTCGACATTTTCCCCGATGCCGTCTTTCAGTTCTCTTCTCTCGTGATATTCTGACGAACGTTCGGGACGTCAGACTGGATCAGTCAGCTCCACAGGAATCCTCCTGGAGCAGTTCTCGTTGAGGAATCGCAATTCTGCCGCAAATTCCCCTTCACAGTCCGAGAAAAGTTATTCACGGACTGTCTTTAGTCTTTGATTAGATCTGTCTACGTCTATGTGAGCGAATGACTTTAGGTCATCGGGTATCTTATCACAGGTTGAGAGTTGTATGGCACATCTTTGACCGGAGAAGAAAAGTAGGCGGGAAGGACCTGTGAAATAAAAAAGAAGCAAACCTGAGGAGACGCATCGCGAGAAACATCGGTCTACCGATTATCGAGATTCAAGCAGCGCCCCATTTTTATCGTTACCGTTCGAGCCGACAAATCTCCGTCGCTCACTTATTCGTCTACGCTTATCGCGGATGAACTTCTAAGCGTACGCGCGCGCATTGAACAAGCGTGATACGCGTGAGCGTGTCGTAAGGCGCGCAACGCGCGAGGAAACCGGAAGGTGATGAGAGAATGAAGGCGACGAAGAGAAGAGGCGACTCATCTCTGCCGCGCTGGACGCGCAGCGCGCGCGCGCGATAGCGACGGCCGGCTGCCGAGGAGGCTCTCTCCCTTCATCAGCGGGGCAACGGGACGAACCGGCTGCGTCCCAGGAGCCGGCGACCAGGCTCCGAGGTGGAAGTGGGTAAGTAGTCCTACGTTTTCCGCATAGCAGGTAGGTGCCGACGCGGAACCGCCGGGCTTCGAGCACGTGACCGAGAGGAAGAGAAGACACCGCGCGCGCGCGCGGTCGCGAAACCGGAACCACGCGGTCGCGAGCAGGTTCGGCGTTATTCACTTATCGCCGGGCGAAGGATTCGCGGATGTCGGTCAACCAGTCTGACACCGCGAATTCTACGTCCTCGCGCATGGTCGCCCAGGTGGATGGCGTTAGCAAAACCAGTCGGTTCGCTCTTCCCTCCGACTCGCCCATCTGCTTCTACTACTACGTCGGAAGGCGCGCGCGCGCGCGCGGGCGAGCTCGCGCGGAGGAGGGCGCGCGCGTAAAACTGGAATTCAGCTCGCGGGCACTGCTCTGACGGATAGACAGGTATAATAATAGACGTAACGAGGAAGCCGGACCATCGAGAGTGAATACACAGAGAGAACGGCGCCGGTTCTCTCTCGCTTGTTCTCTTCTCTTCTCTCCTCTCCCGCTATCTATCCGTCTGTCTCGCGTTCTCGCCTGCTCTCTCTCTCTCTCTCTCTCTCTCTCTCTCTCTCTCTCTCTCTCTCTCTCTCTCTCTCTTCCTCTCCCTCTCGTTCCATCTCCCGGACTATCCCGTCAATAACGGAGACGCGGTGATGCTCGCGAGGAAGGAACAAGACTGGTTGTTAGAAAGAAAGACAGAGAGACAGAGAGGAACAGAGAGAAGCCGAAGAGGGTGGCGGCGGGAAGTAGGTAGGTAGGTAGGTAGTAGGTACCTACCTACTACGCGGAAGAAGGAGATTGGGGCGACCGGGGAGAAGGAGGTACGCGCACGGGGCCGGTATACAACCGCGGATCGGAGACGAGAAGCCAGAGGAGCAGGTTCGGCCGGTCTAACCTGATTCTCGAAGGGAACCCTGCATCAGATTGGACCCACCTCCGTGGGTCCGTTTGTATTTCAAGTACCTGTACGCCCTCGCCTCGCGTCAGTGGGCGATGCCTCCAGAGACGGTGGACTCCGTTGTGAGTCGTATAAAGAACAAGTAAGCTCGTCTCTCCGTTTCGACGGATCGCGGAGAAGCGGTCGCGAGCGCGAGGCGATGTCGTCGTTGTCGGCGACAAGCTCGTTCGTTCGTTCGTTCGTTCGTTCGTTCGTTCGTTCGTTTGTTCGTTCGCTCGTTCGCTCGCTCGCTCGCTCGCTCGCTCGCTCGCCCGGACCGCCGCGCCCCGTTGCACCTGCCGCCGATAGATATCCTAGAGGCCGTCGTCGCGGTGCGCGTCGCGCGTTCGCAGAACCCGGCCGCGGTGGCTGCGATTACAGCGCTGAGATCGTTCGCGGTGTGCGGCGCAGCTTGCCGTTAGTGCGTCGAGAGTGAATTTCCAGAGAGCCCAGTGAGAGTTCGAGGTGATTCCCTTTGAGAACGGTGTTAGACGGCTCCGGCCCGTAGACGGGGTAGTTACGGGAGAATTATGGGAGGAGAGAAGTTCTCCTCCGCGCGTGCAGGCGAGATACGCGATATATAACTGGGGAGCGCTTTGTCTCCGAGGGCGTGCGCGCGCGAAGACAACCTACTACCTGATCGTCATCGTTGACCTTTGTGAGCGGTACGGTGTTGCAGTAGTGAAAATGAGTGTTCTTTTTGACCTGTGGGAAAACTTCGAAAATGGGAAAGAACCTGCAGTTCGAATAGCTTAAGAACTTTTCATTGAACCCAACGATTAATATTCACGTTTAAAAGGATCAAAAAAAGATGAATGAAAGGAACGGTAAACGAGCGACATGGTCTATCAGTGAATAGTTTTCGAACAATAGTCGACGCTTTTCAATCGCACCGCACTTCAATCGCAGATCGATCGACATAACTTTTGTACAATGACGTCGCGATAGAAAGAATCCCGAATCTGAGATCGTATCCTCGCGTGAGTTGCAGTAAGCATGCAATTTTCAGGCAATTTATCTCGAAACGAACGCGTCTTCATGAACGGTCGGCTGTACTGTCGCAAAGGTTATTATGTCAATAAACGATCCCTGCTTGCCGAGAGAGCCTGGTAGTAATAATTCTGTACATATTGTTAACATTCCTCCAAAGGTCAATCTCTCTATGAGAGATCCGGGGAAGAATTTAGTCTACCATCAAAGAGAGGGAGAGAGAGAGAGAGAGAGAGAGAGAGAGAGAGAGAGAGAGAAAGGGGAGGGGAAAGAAAGAGACGATCCCCGAGCATCTTAACATCTCTTAAACTTCGATCGCGTGTATCGCGATATCGTGAAAAAGAAAAAAAATCACGACACAGATTGCAAGAAGCGTCATTTCGCACGAGAAGACGAGAAGCGTACCGTGAGACATCTACCGGTGAAGATATCGCGGATCCGTGATGAGCCCTGCGGTCGTCTTCGCACCCACTTGCTGACCGGTAGGTCACCTGCGCGTCACCTGTCATCGCGCAGGTTGCCCGCAGCTATCGACGGGGGAGTGTCGGGGTGAGGGTCATGCTCGTTTGCGCGCGCGCGCGCGCGGGCGCGAAAATCAAGCAATGGCCGAAGGAAGCCGCTAGTAGTAGCGAGACGAACAGCGAGAGATCAAGACGACAATACTCACTCGTTGAGGTCGCATTAGAAGGGGGAAAGAATCTCGTCGCGTGGATACAGTAGCCGACGCATCCGACGAGAGGAGAGCCGTTGATCGGTGGTTGCCTTTACCGGTGAGATGAGGTGGATTATCACGCGCTCGTACGTGTTGCGGAGGGAAGAGAGGGAGGGAGGGAGGGAGGGAGGGAGGGAGGGAGGTAGTGGTAGCAGTAGTAGGTGGTAGAGGTCGCGAGGGGGCTGGGGTGGGGTGATAGAGGGGGGATGGGGACCAACTACAAACTACTGAGCGTCCCTCCTGTGTTCCGGATCACATCTCAACGGATGATAGTGTCACCACCTGCGTCGTAGACCGAGGCGTACGATTTCTCGACGGATTCGCTGGTACCGGGGACTGCTCGCAGTCTCTTCCTCTCTTTCTCTCTCTCTCTCTCTCTCTCTCTCTCTCTCTCTCTCTCTCTCTCTCTGGAAGAACACCCTTCCGCGGGGGAGGGGGGCCACCCGGTCGTCCACGCTTTTCGCTACCTCCTTCGCGTGCCTCCAGCGACGAAGCTGGCGATTTCGCGAGAGCGAAGACGTGGCGGGATCTTGCGCGAGCGCGGCCGCGAGGAGTTATCGGTCTGTTCACCTGGTGGCATACATCGGCATCGTTTCACTACGCACACGTCATTGCTTGGACATCACAGAGTCTCGGAACATCGCCTCGGACAATCACTCCGCGCGCGTTTTCGTCTTGGCGCGTCGTCACTCGCGCGGCGCTCCACGCGATACACGTTCGCACTCGTCGATGGCCACTTACCAGGCTTGTCCGTGTCCTCCTGCTCGCAAACACATTTGTACAATATCCGCGCACCGGCTTCAGGCACACACTCGCATCTTCACGCGCACGACAACAACGTTTTGCCGTTGCGTTTTGCGAACACGAGCACACAAAAGAAAACTTTTCCGCCGAATAAATAGAGCAAAAACGGCTATTGATGTTTTCAACGTGGCACCGAGGAACAAAGAGAGTATCGCGCTACGTGGGACTGATGCGAAGCAACAGGTACAGGATTAAACCACTAAAAGTTTGGGCGGTCGGTGCAAGCACAAACGAAGCAGCCTCTCGGAGCTCTCTCAGATCGTTCTCTCTTCTCTCGGCATAAGAAACATGGCCGCCACGGCGCTGCCGCCTCCTCTCAACTTCCACCGTGTCTCGGACTCCCTACCTCTACTCCACTAGTGTTCCACACACGTTCGCACAAAACAGCTTATCTCGCTCGCTCGCTCCTCCTCTCCTTCTCTTTCCCACTCGCTCACCCTCACGTTTATTCCTTCCCGACCGTTCAGCCTCTTTCGCTCCTGAACGTCACTCTTTCTCTCTCGCTCCTTCCTCACGGTTTACCTGCGCTTATCCCATAACGTCTCCCTTTCTAGACTCTCCCTTTGGTCCTCAGTCCTCCCTCTCGCCCCCTACCTCTTTCTTTCTCTCGTTCTCTCTTTTTCTTTCTTCCTCTGTTCTCCATGGTCCAGCTTCGTCTCTCTATCCTCCCACTCTTGATCGGGAAAGAGAGAGAATGACAGCCGGAGTCTGCGTATCAGAGAGAGTGGTGGACGGTCTCTTTCTCTTTTTCTCTCTCGCGGCCATCTCGCGGTCCCTCTCTTTTCCACCGCGTGTTCTCCAGCTCGCTCGCTCGCTCGCTCGCGCGCGATACGGTGAGAGTGGCCGATCGAGAGACGAGGATCGCAAAGATCGAGACGCGACCGGGAGAGAGACGGACGTAGCATCTCGCGGCGGCGCGGACCGGGGATCTCAGGCGCGGAACAAGGACAAACGCATGGATCACGCCGGTTGGTGCGACGGAGACGGTCGTCTTCGTGGCGAGTGGATACAAACAAAACATCGAGTCATCGACGAGGCGGCAGGGCAACCGGGATCCTGGCCACCCGGCATTATCGTGTCTCTATGGTCGTCTCTCTCCAACCCGCCGCTTCTTCATCTCTTCTGCT